AAACAGAGGATTTGCCACTAACGCGAAACTTTCTCTATTTATCAAGAAGATCTCTTGGATGTAAAACGAATCTATGAAGACTTGATTGTCTTTTTATGGTAGGCCAGTGACAGGTGACTGCATGATATAATAAGTATAAATATAATAATTCTTGGAATATATAATTACAAATAAGCAGGGGTCTTGAAAAACAAACATGTTTTTCGGGAAATTATGCAATATGATATATCTGTAAGTTAGAAAACTCTGACAACATTTTAGGATACTTCGATGTATGAAATCGAAAACAACTTAAAAACATCCCTGTGATGTAAAAGAAAGTGTGTCCTCATGGAATTGAGAGAGAGAACATTACTCTGAATTTAGCATTGATCAAGCATGCATTGTGAGCAACTAACTTATTTCACGAAAAGTATAGATGACGTATAACAATCCTGACCCCGTTGCCAGAAGCACTGTTTCTTTAAAAATGTCTGGGGCCAGTGTGAGACAGAGGGGTCATTGAAGATAGCAGATATTTCAGAACTTCACAAACAATGTAGTCAAGAAATTAGGCCTAATTACACAGTCTGCTTGAAAATGGCATGTAGTAAATCAACTAAAAGAACCTACAAATAATGTAAACATCTACTAGATTGTGAAAAAAATAACTATCATTTGAATGACAACAATCACATTTGGTGAAGTGTTACGTATCTGCTTGTTTGTTAATTTCCGGTAGAAATTCTTTCCAAGGACCTTCAGTGATACAAGTTCTTTCTTGATTAAACCGGTTTATTTTTTCTCGATACAAACTTTTAGTACACAGTAGTTCCACAGTCAGTACGTTTCTCATTACTTTCAACTTAACAATTTTTATAACACACACACTATAAATCACAGCGATTCACAACCTCGATAATTTCGCTCTCTATGAGTGCAAAACACAAACTTTATGGCTCACTAGCTCGCAACTAACAGAATAAATTACACAGAAATCACCATAACTACTGTTCACTTAATCATACATTAAAGGCTTTTCTCTGCCAGGCTTATATACT